ACAGCTTCACTGCAGGAAGAGGATGACCGAGCTGTACATTCAGGCCGCGACTGCGCGCAGCCCAGGGTTTCTGCTTCCCTCTTGGGGTGACACGTGCACCCAAGAGCCTGCTCCCTGGAGTTCAGCCGCCCAGGTGGGTCCACAGCACCTGGCGGCGCCCCTCCAGACAGGCCGTGGTGGGCTCTGCGTGGAGCCGGGCTGCACAGGGCAGTGGGGTCATCCCGGGCCCAGTGCCAGACTGCTCTCCCTGAGCACGGTCCCTTCGGTAGGACAGCGGGGTGCGGAGCAGTCGGGGTGCTCCTGCCGTTTCTGCCGCAGCTGGGTGGAAGGCGGCCGGGGCCAGATGCACGGGGCGTCCTGTGGTGACCTCAGGGCCAGAGCTCGGGCCAGAAGGGGTGGGTCTCAGACGTGGGCCATGGAGTTTGGAGGGTCTGTGTAAATTTTCCAACTGAATCTTTTTTTTTTTTTTTAATTTTTTTTTCTTTATTGATTTTAGAGAGAGAGGAAAGGAGAGGGAGACAGAGATATAAACATCGATGAGAGAGAACATCGATTGGCTGCCTCCTGCACGCCCCCCACTGGGGATCGGGCCCACAACCTGGGCATGTGTCCTGACTGGGAATCGAACCAGCAACCTCTTGGTGCAGGGTCGACACTCAACCACTGAGCCACACCAGCCTGGCTCCAACTGAACCCTAATAATACCCACAGTGCATTCGCCTAAGCTGAGGACTTCAGTGAAAAGGTGAAATTGGCCAAACAGCACAGACCTGGTGAGCACCTGGACCCCTGTGCTGCTCCTGAGGGTCCCCAGTGGGACACTCTCCCTAACAGAACTTCAGCCACAGATGAGGCCATCGCCTGTCCACAGGAAAAGGTTCCGTCCAGTGAGGGCACATGCCAACCATGACTAAATGACATCGATGTCCATGAGGTGGGGACCTGTGTGCAGTCCATCTGCCAGACCTCCAGTGGCCCGTGAGGCGATCTGCAGTGTCCAGGGCCGTGTGCACAGGCTTCCCTGGGATGCTGCACTTTGCACAGGTGGACGATGAGGTCACTGTTTTTCCAAGGCCTTGTTACTCTGTCCCCCACTGCTGACTCTCAGGCCCTCCCTGTCATGGACCGTGGTCCGGACGGACACCTGGAGTCTCCGGGAGGAGGGGCTGTGTTTCGTCTGAACTACAGCTCTGCTTTCGTCACACCAGCAGCTGGAGCTCCAATCTCGCTCTCCTTTCCGGAGCCAGCTGTTGGGCCCTCTGCACGGTTTGTCTAGATTATCCTTTGGAGACACACCCTCTGGCCAACGAGGGGGGACAGCAGTGTCCCAGATGATCTCGCCCCGTGCCCAGGGCTGACAGGACCTTGCAAATTGCGGCCGTGGCAGGTCAAGGCACAGCGGCCGGGGGTCCTGAGCACAGGTCGCTTTTTCTCCCAGCCCTCACCCGAGGACTTGCTTCCACTGACTTCAGAAGGGGAGGGAGGACTGATGTGAGAAGCATCCATCAGCTGCCTCCTGTACGCACCCCAACTGGGCATCAGACCTGCAACTGTTTGGTGCCCAGGATGACGCTCAGACAACGAGCCAGGGCACACCAGGCACTTTGCTTTGTTCCCACTGGACGCAGGAACTGTGCTGGCACCTGCTCCTGCACAGGCCGGCACTGTCCGTGTGTAGGCCACTGGTCTCGCCCTGGTCGAAGGGCAGCCCAGTGAGAGCCGGATGTGGCCCCGGTGGAAACGTCACCTCGGCTTCGAGGTGGCCCTGCAGGGGCCGCACGGCACTCCCCGCTCTACCCTGACCGTGTGGCCAGGTCCACGCTGCCCGGAGCCACCAGGCGCAGGAGCCCAGCCAGCCCTGTTGAGCAGCTGTGAGGAGCTGATTGGCTGTTCTGACAGCACCATCTAATTCTAGAGTAACCCCCTCCTGGAGACATTTCCAGCACGATACGTGTCTGGAAGTCTCAGCCTAGTCGATGAGTGTGGTGGGAAGCTGGGGAGACAAGGGTGGGCACCTCTCCTGGGCCTGAACAGGGGGAGGGGGCCCAGAGATGGTGCCCGTGGAGATCCGCGTTAGCTGAACGGCTGCTCTGGGGCTGAGAGGGGGACTCGGGTCAGCCAGAACAGAGCCCTTCCTGAGTGGGAGAAGAGTTTCTGCCAGCCGATGAAGAGGGAGGGCCGGGGGGGCCTGTAGTTCTTGGAGCCTGTCCCTGGATCAGGGGCTCAGGACGTGGGTTAGATGGCCGAAGGCCCTGGCGTGCTCACAGCTGTGACGATGTCTTTCCAGTGCCCTGGCTGTTTGCAATAATGGCCCAAGCTGGGAGCCTTCGTTTGCTGGAGATGGGAATTTAAAATCTTAGGGTCTCACTTCCAGGCGGCGTGCTGAGGGTGCCAGCCCACTTATTTCAAGTCAGCGGAGTCTCGAGTGGCGTGTCCCACTCCGCCCTGGCCCCTGGCACTGAGGGGGGAGAGGCCCAGGCGGAGCCACAGTGGGAGGAGAGCCGGGGGCCTGTCTGAGCGGGAGGACACCTGCCTCCTGCAGGCTCGGGGAGCTGCTGCCGGCTCCGCGGGCTCCGGTGCGAGGTCGAGCATTTCCCCAGATCCAGGTGGGTTTTCTACTTCCCTTCGAGACGGCCGTCGGGCAGCCAGTGTCGAGCCTACCTTCCCCACGCGCGGAGAGCTGCTGCCGTGGACCTGAGCCGCGGGTGCTCTGAGGACCCTGCAGGTCCGAGGGGGGCCCTCCGCCCCGCAGCGAGCACCTCACCAGGGCTCGGCGCTGCTTCACTTCTGGAGCTTAGGAACGTGGGGTCTGCTGGGATGTTCTAAGGGCTGGTCTTTCTTTTGAAGTCCAGTAGCGCTGGCTAAGTCTCACCATTTGCAAAGAGGCACCGTCAGCGTCCCGGTGGTTTCTGGAAGCCTCGGATCGCCGCTCGGAATGGGCGGTTCTTTCTGCTTTGCAGTCGGCACTACAGATCTCCAGTTCGGGTTTTAAGAAAAGTAAGTTCGGCCCGGCCAGTGTGGCTCAGTGGACTGAGTGTCGTCCTGTGGACTGAGAGGTCCCAGTTGGATTCCCAGTCAGGGCACGTGCCCAGGTTGTGGGCTGATCCCCAGTAGGTGCAGGAGGAAGCTGATTGATGTTTCTCTCTCATCAATGTTTCTCTCTAAAAAATCAAAAAGAAAAGTAAGTTTGGGAGTCTCAGGTGTTGAGTTACTATTGGTCAGATCAGTTCACTTAGTTAAAATGGCCATAAGGAGAGACCACGATTCTGAACCAATCTGGCTGGGGTCCCTGCAGGAGGGCCACCTGAAGGTACTCAGGGCCCCACTTTGCAAGGCTCTGTCTGCGCGAGAAGCAGGGGCCTAAAGCAGCTCAAGCCCGAGGCTCAGGACCAGGCCGACATTCCAGGCAGCCGGGCTGGCCAGCGCCCTGGGGGCAGCGCAGTCGGCAGCCTGAGGGAAAGCGGCCTCCCCACCAGCAGCCTGCTCCCCGGGAGCACAGCGCTCCAAGGACAACAGCCTTTTAGCAGCGACAGCACCCCTCTGGACGGCTCCCAGGTTCCAGAAGACTCCAGCGCGGACGAGGCAGCAGCCGGGTTCCCGCAGCGCAGGCCCTGCCCCGGCACGCCGCCCTCGCTGCTGCCTTCCCCTCGCCCGGCCGGGAGTGAGACCCTCTGCCAGCGGAAACACCACGCTCCCTCCCTGGCGCGTGGGGCCAAGCTTGCGGCGGCCGGCATCGCGTCTCTGCGGGCCCTTCCCCAGCCCTGGCCCACGGACACATGTGACAGACCGTCCGTGTGGCGTCACATCACATCAGGGAAATGCACACGGAAGCAGCGGTGAGAGCACCGCGCACCTGCCCAACCGGCTGGAGCCCGAGCTCACCCGCGGGCTGGCGGCCCTGGAGTCGCAGGAGCCACACTGGGCGCCGGGACGAGGGTCTCAGAACTAGACGCACACTCACCGCCTGATCCAGCAATTACAGTCCATGGTGAATGCCCAGCCCTCACCAGGTTGGCTCAGCAGTCAGAGCATCAGCCCGAGGACCGATTCCCAGTCAAGGAAATGTACCTGGGTTGCAGGTTCGATCCCCGGCCCTAGGTGAGGTCATGTTGGAGGCAACCAATGGATGTGTCTCTCTCCTCCTCCCTCTTCCAGTCTTTCTAATATATAATGGAAAAAAAATATCCTCGTATGAGGATTCACCAAAAAAGAAAGAACGTTCATGAAAAACCTGCATGTGGATATTTACAACTTCATTCAAAATTGCCCCGAATTGGAAGCAACCAAAGAGCCCTCACTAGCTGGTGGATAAGCTGCAGCACGTCCCACACCGACAGGGCGGGAGCCACCGGCTGGGACGTGGGGGTGCAGGCCAAGCCTGCTGGGGCCCGAGTACCATGTGCCAGGGCTGAGGTGCAGGGTGAGCAGGCGGCGCGGGGGTGGGGTGGGGACACGCCCCTGTGTGGGGCTGAGGCCGGTCCACGTCCTGCGCTGTGTCCAGGCCGCAGGGTGCACGGTGCCAGGGTGGCCCTGGCTCGCGCCTGTGGACTTGGTGACATGGTGGGCGTGCACGCTCAGGGACTGTCTCAAGTGTCCCCTTGGGGAGGTGGGTAGTGGGGCAGCAGGGGCAGCGGGCACATGGGGATGTCTGTGCTTCTGCTCCCGTTTACTGTGACCCTGGAACTGCTCTAAAAATAATCTTTCTTTGCAAAGAGAAGAGACTGGGAAGCCCATTACCTTTTCCACTGAGGTGAGGGGACACGCTCGGCCAGGAGGTGGACCGGGGGGTGCTCTGGGCGAGGGCCGCCGGGGGCTGTCCCGTGGGTGTGGACGGAGCTCGAGGGCCTGGGCCCTCTGCAGTGTGGGGCCAGCCTCCCACTTCCTTCCCCGGAACCACAAGGAACGAGGCACCTGGCCCGGCTGAGGGAAGCGAGGGTGTGGAGAGGCCACCTGTGCTGAGAGCCTGGCCGCCCTCTGACCACAGCTTCTTCTCCCGCCAGCTGGACATTTTATGCAACGAGGAAATCCTGGGCAAGGACCACACACTCAAGTTCGTGGTCGTCACGAGGTGGAGATTCAAGGTGAGGCCCGTCTCCCTGCAGCCGTGTTCACAGATGCCGTGCTTTTCTGTGCAGTTTCTTAGTCCTCACCTGAGAACACGTTTAATGCCTTTTTTAGAGAGAGGGGAAGGGGCGGGGTGGAGAGAGAAATATCGATGTGAGAGAAACATGTTTCTGTGGCCTCCTGCACACACCCCAATCTGAGATCGAACCCGCGGCCTTTGGTGTACGGGACGACACTGCAACCCACTGGGCCGCCGGGCCAGGGCTGTGCATTTTCACCTGAGAGATGAGGGTTCAGTCACAGGTGGTTGTGAGACGCAGTTATTCTGAAATCAGCCCCAGAGCCGCCTCCCACTCGCCCTCTCCTGGTGGCCGTGACGATATGGGGTGAGCTGGGGCGGGAGGGGTGCCCAGCACTCTGCTGGCTCATCGCCCTCCCTGGAACCAATGCGGTGCCGCTGGGGCTCCACGGAGCTGCCGCGTGGCACCCTCACCGTGGCCTGTCTTGCAGAAGGCGCCTCTCCTGCTGCACTACAGACCCAAGATGGACCTGCTGTGACGCCCAGACTTGGCCCAGGTGCCGTGAGCACAGGGCGCAGGACCGTGGCGCCCGTGGACGGGGCCTCAGGCGTCCTGGGACCAGACTTCTGAATAGAGAATATTTATCACTTTTGTACGAGAGAATTCACACTCAGCAAGCCACCACCAGCAGCACGGTGACCAGGTGGTGACACGGCACAGGCTCCCACGGCGGACCCCGCCTCTCTCCAGGTCTTCAAATCTTGGTCGTTTCGATTTAGTTTATGAATTAGGTTTCATGATAAGCCTCAGAAATACTTGTACGTTTATTGAATCCTTACTAAGTTATTGAAAATATGTCTTTTCATGGTGAATGACGATTTTTACGTTGCCTTTAGCTTCCTGAAGACTTAGAAGAGCTATAAAAGTTTCATTTGAAAGCACACCAGAAGAGGCTGCCATTCATATCGTGTGTTAACCCGGTGTTTGAGGCCCCTGTTGTGAAACCTGATGGAGCCCAGCTCCCACCCCTGTGCTCGGGCTCCGATGGCCTGGACACCTGGGACCTGGCGCTGGTTTGCAGAACAATCTTGTTAAAAATCACTTTTATTATGAAATAGGGCACCGGGCCTTCGGTGCCACTGTTTGCTCTCCTCCTCCCTCTTCCCTGCATTAGCTCTGCTGACGGGGGAGCTGGTGGCCTGCGGGGACTTCGTAGACACCAGGTCCCCCACATCCATCCCCCCTTTAAAGGGGGATGGCACCCAGCCCTCCTTTCTGCCCAATGCTGTGGGGGAGGTTCTCACCCAGCCTCACGGGTCGGCGTCTCGGGCGGAGCTGCTAGGGACCAGCACTCCATTAAGTGGGCTTCACCTACACGAGACCTAAAACAGCCACCGCAACACTTGCGTTCTAACCCTTCTCCTCCCAAACGTTAATCTGTGCAATCAGAGAAGACACTTTCTGCCCGCACACAAATGTGTTCCTTTAAAACAGGATCTTGGAACCTGGGAAGGCGAGATCGAGGAGAAAGACCCATCCCGTGGCTGCAGTGTTGTCTTGGAGCGCGGGTCACCCTCGTTGTCCCCTGAGGTCTCGGTGACCTTTGCACTCCTCTCTGTCACCTGTCAGGCATGAGGGTCCTGGGGCCATTGCCCACCCCCATCCCCACCCCCACCCCCAGGCTGGGTTTTCCATTCACTTCAGTGACCAGAACTTTCTCGAATCTGCTCCAGAAGATAGGCCTGGGCTCGCCGACGGGCTCCGCGTGCGCAGGCGCCAGAAGCAGCTGCAGAAACGTCAAGTTCATTCAGTCCCAGCAATTTTAATGAAAGGCCTTTTAAAAACATCACAACACATTGTTCAGGAATTGGTCAAAATTCACTCTTTATTTCAGCCCCTTACTGCCCAGTTCTGTTCAGAGTGTCTCGTTACCTAAGCTCGCTATTCACCCAAATCGTTTTTAGTTACTCTCTGAGGTTTTAACAAGTAGATGTGTATGAGTAAATATGACCTGTCTACCTCAAAACGCACATTACTGCTGGCGCACCTGTCAGATCACAGGACCACGGTGCGGTCTCTGGGGGCGTAGGGTGCAGGGATTTCCCGTGGGGTGAAGTGAGGGGTGAGCAGCGTGAGCGTCCAAATTCAAACAAAACTGGTTCCAGCTCAGACTCAGCCGAATATGTCTGTAACCATCTTCTGACTACACCTGTAACTTTGTAGCTCTCTTTGAAATCACTTGAATTTGCTATGGTGCTAAGTCGATACATTTAAACATACAGAGAGATGGAGGTAGGCCGGGCACGTCCACACCGCCGACTGCCGACCGCTCTGGTGTGATCCCGCCTTGTGGCCGTGTTGACCTGATGGGAGCTCAGCAGCAGAAGCACCTATTTTTCTAAGATTTCCTCGTGCAGACTGTCCACACAGGACGGCCCCTGGGACCTGCCCCGTCTGACCGCAGCCAGGACAGCTGGGGCCACGTGAAGGGCTCCAACTCACACAACAGCTGCACTTCATTCTCTCCAGCGTGAAAGTCGGGGTCGGTGAGTGAGGGGACCCAGCCAGGCGCCCTGACAGGTGGACCCTGTGAAGTGCACGCCTGTCTGCGGCTGGACGCGGCTTCCCTGACCGCGCCCTCTGGCGGCGTGGACTCGCCGTGCGGTCTTCATGGAACAGAAAGTTCAGATAGAATATATAATATGGAATTTAAGAGTTGGGGGGTTAAAAAAGAAAACTTAACTTTATAAAATTATTTATTCTATTTTAAGCCTTCTATCCTATTTTCCCATCCAGTTGTTCGGTTCCGTGGCCCTGCTTTATTTACAGGCATATAAGATGAAATTGAGATGTTCTGCAAGCTTCTTTTTCCTTTCAGTAGCTGTAACCTGTATGTTTGTTCACACGGACGGAGAGCACTGTCCACGCTGTGCTTGGTGTGCAATAGGCTCGTCTGCTTGGGAGCAGCCTCTCCTGCTGCAGAGCAAGGGAGCAGGTGGGAGTGAAACCTGTGCATCGAGCTGTTTGGTTCTTCCTCCTCATTGTCGCGGCAGGAACACTACGACTCGGCATCGTGTGCCTGTCAGCATGACGAGTGAGTGACTCGGCGGCCTGAGGTGCCGTGGCGCCTTCCCGACCAGCCACGTGCCGTGGGGCTCGTGGCCTCGGAGCCTGGGCGGCCCGTCTGTGTTCTCAGAGCACACGCTCTTCACTGATCGGACACGTGTCATTGGATCGAATGTTCCAGGAACAAACCAGCTGACTTCTGCATCCTATGTCAATATTCGATGTGCTCTCAACATCAAAAATAACTTCAGTGCAGATAAAAAATCAGTTTCTCGATTTCCTCAGGAACCCATGTGCACCCCACACTTCACCTGTGACCTTAGCCCGATAAAGTGTGTCTCTGCCTTGGTTTGGAGTGAACGGAGGGAGTGGGATAAGTAGACGAGAAAACGTTCAGGCCGCACGTCCGCCAGACGGCCTGCGGGCAGGGAGGGCGCCGCGTCCCCACGGCAGAGTGTCCCTGAGATGCGCAGCCTCGGTGCAGATGTCTGTCCCGACAACTCGCTGGGAGTGAGGAAACCACATTCCCTAGACGGTGTGGGTCCGGGGAGCTCGCCACGAAGCCCGCCCCCTCATGGTGCCGCAGACACTGCCGCGGGTCATGGAGATGACAGTGCAGACACATATTTTTGACTGTTTAATTTGAAAGTTTACATTTTTTATGCTTTGTGTTGGTGTGTAATTTTTGTACTATTGGTGGCTAGTTTTTGTCAAATCTTTTTTGGAATATTGCTTAAATGTTTTGATTTTATGACAGTGAAGCTTGTATTCAGTGTTTTGCCAATTAATATTATATGCTTGTAATAAAAGCAAAAGAAAAACTTAACTGAATTTCTCTTGGGTTGGAAATTTATCATATAAAGTACCTGTGAGAACCCTGCCCTGCGCACACCTTGGCCCTGCACCTCACAGCTCACCTCCACCTTCAGCTGGGCCCAGTGCCCGTGCTGGCGTGGCTCAGTGTTTAGAGCCTCGGCCCACACGCCAGAGGGTTTGGGGTTCAATTCCCGGCTCTAGTTGGGGTGCATGTAGGAGGCAATTAGTTGATGTGTCTCTCTCACATCGATGTTTCTCACTCCCTTCCACTCTAAAAATCAATAGAAAAAATATCCTTGGGTGAGGATTAACCAAGAAATGCAAGATAAATTGGCCCAGTGTTTGGTGCCACGGCTTTGGTGGGAGCTCCCTGTGGTTCGAAGCACCTGTGCCAACGACAGCTACTGGGAACCTGCCCCCACGTGGGCAGGTCAGGTGCACCCTCTGATAGTGAGTGAGTTGGGGTTCTGCAGACACCAGCCCCAACGGGAGAAGAGACACATATGCAGAGATCTGCCTACGCAGATTTACCCGAGGAGCTTGCTCAGGATTGTGGGAGCTGAGCAGCCCCAGGGGCCAGGGGCAGTGCAGTCCAGGGGGGGGGGGCAGTGCAGTCCTGAGGGGAGTCGGGGCAGTGCAGTCCAGGGGGGAGGGGCAGTGCAGTCCAGGGGGGAGGGGCAGTCCAGTCCAGAGGGGAGTGGGGCAGTGTAGTCCAGAGGGGAGTGGGGCAGTGCAGTCCAGGGGGGAGGGGCAGTGCAGTCCAGAGGGGAGTCGGGGCAGTGCAGTCCTGAGGGGAGGGGCAGTGCAGTCCTGAGGGGAGGGGCAGTGCAGTCCAGGGGGGAGGGGCAGTGCAGTCCAGGGGGGAGGGGCAGTGCAGTCCTGAGGGGAGGGGCAGTGCAGTCCTGAGGGGAGGGGCAGTGCAGTCCAGAGGGGAGTCGGGGCAGTGCAGTCCAGGGGGGAGGGGCAGTGCAGTCCAGGGGGGAGGGGCAGTGCAGTCCTGAGGGGAGGGGCAGTGCAGTCCAGGGGGGAGGGGCAGTGCAGTCCTGAGGGGAGGGGCAGTGCAGTCCTGAGGGGAGGGGCAGTGCAGTCCAGGGGGGAGGGGCAGTGCAGTCCTGAGGGGAGGGGCAGTGCAGTCCAGGGGGGAGGGGCAGTGCAGTCCTGAGGGGAGGGGCAGTGCAGTCCTGAGGGGAGGGGCAGTGCAGTCCTGAGGGGAGGGGCAGTGCAGTCCTGAGGGGAGGGGCAGTGCAGTCCTGAGGGGAGGGGCAGTGCAGTCCAGGGGGGAGGGGCAGTGCAGTCCAGAGGGGAGTCGGGGCAGTGCAGTCCTGAGGGGAGTCGGGGCAGTGCAGTCCAGGGGGAGGGGCAGTGCAGTCCTGAGGGGAGTCGGGGCAGTGCAGTCCAGGGGGGAGGGGCAGTGCAGTCCTGAGGGGAGGGGCAGTGCAGTCCAGGGGGGTCCAGGGCAGTGCAGTCCAGAGGACCGGGTGGTGCAGTCCAGGGGCTGGGAAGACCATGTCCAGCCCAGCCTGTCAGTCGGGCGGCGTACCCTCCAACTCCACTTTTTCATTCTTTTCATGTCCTGGGGGGGTAGCCCACTCACATTGAGGGAGACTCAGATTCAAATGCTCACCTCCTCCTTAGCAGCCCACACACACTGAGCATAGTTTTATCTGCGCAACCCAGGGTCCCAGTCAAGTTGACACATGAAATTAACCACAGACCATTTGGCGCGGGGAGGTGGGAGGGGGAGTTGCACTAGGCTTAAAACCTTGATGTACAATATTATATTAGTTCCAACATGCGGCCAGTGATTAGACATTATATAACCTACAAAGTCTTCCCCCCAAAAAAGTTAGTACCCACCTGGCACCATACGTAGTTTTTACAGTATTATTGACTGTGTTCCCGGTGCTGTACTTGACATCCCACGACTGTTCTATAACAACTGATTGGTATTTTTTTTTTATCCTCACCCGAGGATATTTTTTCGTTTTTGTTCAGATAGAATGGGAGGGAGAGAGAGGAAGACAGCGAGAGAGAAACATCGACGTGAAAGGTACACATTTAGTGGCCAACCAGGGTCGGGGACAAACTACAACCGAGGTACGCGCCCTTAGCAGGAACCGAACCCGGGTCTCTCTGGTCCACAGGCCGACGCTCTAACCGCTGAGCCAAAGTGGCTCAGGGCTGATTTGTGTTTTTTAAAACATCCTTTTATTTTTATTTCAAATGTGTTTTTATTGATTTTTTTAGAGCGAGAGGTTGGAGGAGAGAGAGAAACATGGGTCGGCTGCCTCCTGCACGCTCCCTATTGGGGATCCAGCCTGCAACCTGGGCATGTGCCCTGACCAGGAATTGAACCCGGACCACTGAGTCCATGGGACGACACTCAATCCACTGAACACACTGGCCACAGCTAATTTGTATTTCTTAATCCCTTCACCTTTTCTACCCAGCCATCACCCTCCTTCCATCTCGCAACATCAAAATGTTCTCTGTATCTATGGGTTTGTCTCTGTTTTGTTCATTTGTTTTCAGATTTCACATAGAAGTGAAACCACACAGTGTTTTTCTTTTTCTATCTGACTTATTTCACTCAGCACAATACTCTCTGGGTTCATCTATGTTGCTGCCGACTGCACCATTTCTTTCTTTTTAATCCTCACCCAAGGATATTTTTCTGTTTATCCTCAGATAGAGTGGGAGGGAGAGAG